CTGCTTCGCAGAGTGGCCATGAGCTTAGTGGAGCAGTCACCTAGGCAGCAGTTAGTTTTGCGAAGCGTCCAGCGGTGAACTTTGCGGGGCAGCAGCAAGTTTCACAGAGCAGTCAAAGGGTGGGGGGGCATCACGGAGCATCCTGGGGCAGGGAGCTTCACATAGCATCGCAGGGCAGCAGAGGCCAGGTTAGGCCGAGGGACCCTAACCATGCTTGATTTTGTATGTGCTGGACCTCTAGTGTCAAAAGAATATATATTGGGTAAGAAAAATATTAATTAAAATTAGAAGAGATATATGTCAGTTATCAATAAAACTGGGAGGAAAATGAAGTAAAGATTAGAAGGATTTTTTTTGGAACTTGACATAATTTTTAAAGACTAAACTGCAATTGGATTTAATACTATAGAAGAGTGTACCCTGGCTGCACCCCTAGAAACAGCTGGAGAGTTTTTTAAATCACACTGCCTATTAATTTCTCAGACCCAGGCTAAGTCACAATTTCTGGGCATGGAACCCAGACATTAAAGTTACCCAGTTGATGCAAAAGTTAGCAACTGCTATAAGAAGTGGAAAGTGCTTGGTTAAAAGATGGAATTGAAATAGGAATTACAAAATTGGATCATTTTTATTCATTTGTAATCTTGGGCAAGTCACTTAATGCTTAATGTTAGTTTGTCATATATAACTTTGTTGGATGATCTCATCTATAACTTAGTTGCATGATGATCTCTGGAGATTTTTCTGTCTCTAAGATCTTTTGATTTTAATAAAGGAAAATGAGTAATGAAATAATGTTAGAGGGAAGATTAATTGGCTACATGCAGGACAGTTTGGAGGTAAGAAGATGGTTGTCCTTTGTCGGTGTGGGTAGGGCAGGTGAGCTCCTCGGGGAGGCTACTTGCTTTGGGAATAGAAAGGAGAATACTTTTTGCAGGTCTCTTGGGTGAATTAGGGATTTCCTCCCTTTCCTAAATATAGATTTCAGGAGACTTCAAGTATGAATATTTAAGGATTTGGTTGCTGTAATTGATTTTTTCCTTATAACTTGTATTTTTATCTTTAGCCAAACCTTGAATAAAGAATGACTTACCTTGCCATAAATATTTAAGGGATGTGCTCTTAATCAGTTTGTGCAGTGGAAATAATTCATGGAAACATTTCTTAGATCATAGGCCATTAATCATTTCTGAAAAATAATTAATAAGGAATTAAATTCATTCTTTGATTGTTTAGCATCCTTCCAAATATGTAGCTTGGTATTTGAAATATGTTCATATATTTCTCCTAACATTATATTACTCTTTATTTATCAGTTTGTCAAAATGAAATAAAAATTTGGTTTAGAAAAGTTTTATAACTTTCCCTACTGCTTTTTAACAGTTTTTCGTTGTTGTTGTTAATCATGTTTTATCCCTGTTCTGTAAAAAGTGGAGTAAAAACTCTCTGTAGGATTGTTAAAATGAGGAAAAGAGATGAAGTAGCATAATATAATGTTTGACACATAGTTCTTAGGTATGTGATAAATTTTAATTCTACTGCCCTGCCCATATACAAGCTTAGGCATACATATTTGTATTTACTGTTGTAGTTATTTTATGCCAAAAAAAATTTATGTGTTTCCCCCCCCCCCTTTTTTTTTTTCTTTCAACTTACACGTATTCTTCTTGGTATGCTAGTAATATTTTGGAAATGAGTTTCCATAATTTTTTTCTAATTGTGCTAGAAAAAGAGTGAATTTTTCCCTCCTCTGACTCTATTCAGTTGTAATAGTTTGACTTACAGTGATATTCTTTATGTCATAAAGGAATTTGATTTTTTAAAAATAGCTCAGTTCTTAAGTATTCAAGGCTTGATAATGCAGTATGAAATTGATGTCCTCCTTTCTGCTCTTTTGATTATTTTACACCTACCTAGTTCAAAGTACATCTCAGATCTTTTGAATTTATTAGCTGTTTTTGTTAAATGAAGCATGTTGAAGAAAAAATAAAAGTAAATGCTAGTCTTTGAGTTTATTTATTTCAGTGTCTTCCTCCACTCCAAGCACTATAAATTAACTCATTGCCAATTTCTAATTGACTACATAAGCTTATCCATTCTTATTTCCTTCTCTAAAGGTTTTTGCTAATGTTCAGATAATCTTGTGCTTCTAAAGTTACAAATTTTCATAATACTGCATAGAATAATTTGTATATGAAGGGTTGAAGTAAGCAAATCTGGATGGGTTTTGTGGACTTAGTAATTATTAGAAAAAAAGTCTGAGGGAACTAGATTTTTGAAAAGTGTATGTTTATAGTGGAGAAGTTGTAAAGAGAGTGAAAAGGAAAACCAAAGGACAGACAACTTGATAGATAGAGAAAAAGGGAGAAAGAAAATGGAGGGAAGAGAACAAGAGATGAAAGTTTAAAAAAAAAAAAAAGTTTGAAGAGAAACATTCAAAAATGGAAAAAGAAAGTAAGAGGGAAAAAAATCATTAGGCACTCATAAGGTACTAATTAGTGTTATATTTGGCTCCTAAAAGGCTCTAAACTCTAGTCTTGGTTCTTTGGGTCACCTTGGAGAAGTCAGTAAACTTCTCTGTAACTCAGCTTCCTCATCTGTAAAACGTGAACTTTGGACTAAGTGATCTTTAAGACTCCTTCTGGCTCTAAAATTGTATAATATTTCTTGTTAGTTAATCACTGAGGAAAACATTCCTTTGGGAAATTTGCAGCTATAGCTGACTTTTGGACAACGTATTTAGGGAGAAGGATGTGAGCTCCCTGAGGAGAGGAGTCTTTTTTCTCTGTCTTGTTCACCCAGCAGCTGGTACAGTCAATGTTTAGTGAGTGATGTGAAAATTATCACTTTGGTGGTTCATTTCAGGGAGCATCTAGTGGGCTTAGGGGAAAACTATGTGTTTGAAAGAAGGAAAAGAATGATTTCTTCTGAAGATATCTTATATATTTATATAGGTTGATTTTTAACATTTTGTTCTTCCTTATTTTGTCCCAGATTCAGAGAAAGTGGCTGCAGGTAGTGGTATACTCATCATAAAACTTAGAGTGATCAGACATATAGTAACTAAATCAACATGTAATCTAGGCCAGTTCTCTTCATGTGACTTTAAGAAATGCAGAAACAAGTTTGGGTCTTCATGGAAGAGTGAAAAGAGTACACATAGCCTATAGTCATTATACTAAATTGTATACACTGGCTTCATTCAGTTGAGAAGCAAACTTAGGCTGAGTACTGAGGCTGGTAGATTCAAGGGAAATCTTTTTTTTTTTTTTTTTTTTTTAATATATTTTATTGATTTTTTACAGAGAGGAAGGGAGAGAGATAGAGAGCTAGAAACGTCGATGAGAGAGAAACATCGACCAGTTGCCTCTTGCACACCCCCTACCTGGGATGTGCCCGCAACCAAGGTACATGCCCTTGACCGGAATCGAACCCACTGAGCCAAACCGTTTTCGGCTCAAGGGAAAATCTTAATCTACTGGTATCCCTAGATTAGAAGGTGGTACATAGCTATGCCTAAAGGTAAATTTTACAAAGATATTTGAAGGAAACATTCATAATATATTCCCCATTTTTTTTGAGGTCATCGTTTCAAAATATGACCAAAATTAGACCAAAAGAGGGATGGGGGAAGAGTCACTATAAATGTCTAGCAATTGTCATCTACTTATTCATTAGCACTCACTCCTTCTTATCACTTTTATTTAACCTCCATTTAGAATAAGTTTCATTGATTGATGTGCCATTTCATGTAGACAGAAACAGAAAGCATAAAAAGTTTGGGTCTGTAAGATGGAGGCAATGGGCCTTTAATTCATAGGCATATATGATGACAAGTTAGAGCTGAACAGTCCTACTTTGAGAGATAAAAGAGGGGAAAATAAACATCTAGCACATTAGTTATCTATAATAATTATTTTGAGTCATTAAGAAAATAATAATTTGTATTTTATATTAATAAAATGTAGGAATTATGTCATACATTTTTCTAAAAAACTTACCCCATTTATTTTTTAATGTTTTACATCTGAATATTAAACCCTCAATAGCCTTTAACAATACACCTATTGGAATGCATTTATCACTACATCTGGTCCCAGGAGTGCTATTAGATAAATAGAAGGTGACTGTACTTTGAAATTTGTTTATTTTTAAAATATATTTTTATTGATTTCGAGAGGGAGAGGGAGAGAGAGAAACATCAATGATGAGAGAGAATCATTGATCAGCCACCTCCTGCACGTCCTACATTGGGGATCAAGCTGCAACCCAGACATGTGCTCTACCTGGGAATTGATCCGTGACCTGCTAGTTCATAGGTCAGCACTCAGTCACTGAGCCATGCTGGCTGGGCTACTTTGAAATTTTTCTATATATATATATACACATATATATACACATATACATATATATATATCAGTGTGTATGTATGTATATGTGTATGTATGTATATATATTTAAAAGTTTTGTTTCTTGTAGTTATGTCAGGTTGAGTTTAATCAGTTGCTTACATTTTATGTTGGGTTTGTAAAGACTATAATATTGAGAAGTATGTAAGTATAAATAGTAGTAAAAAGGCTTTCTGAAATGCATTTTAAAAGGATCATATAAAAAGTTAAAGTTAAACAAAGCAAGGTTAAATGTCTGTGTACTTCAATTATTATTTAAAACAGAAACACACGATTGCAAATTTTTTTTAAAGCATATTTGTATAAATTGTTTTTATGGAATATCAGTCATCTAATTTGTTTGTCATCGACAGACATAGTTTATTGTAAAATAGGAATATGAAAGCAGTATCCATTTATAATAAGTTTCAGACCAGGACATTATTTTTGTTAAAATCAGAGTCCATTTGGAGTGAATTGAATATATTCATTTAAAATTTGCATATTATATTACAATGATTTTTATATGTTTTAAATTACCAACTCCAGAAGATGGATAACAATTTCATTCCTGATGGCAATGAATTTCCTTCTTCTGAATTTTTTTAATAGGTGCACTAGGCCTTCCAATGAGGGGGATGAGCAACAATACCCCTCAGTTAAATCGCAGCTTATCACAAGGCACTCAGTTACCGAGCCACGTCACGCCAACAACAGGGGTACCAACAATGTCACTTCACACGCCTCCATCTCCAAGCAGGTATTTATTGGTGGACCAGCATATTTCTCAAAATGTATCTTTGTAGAGTAAGCAAGCTTTTCAGTTTTTCATAAGGTAACTAAATGATTCAGTGCCTTTCACTGAGGAAAAGAAAGTTGATACCCTCTGCTAAGTTTATTTCATTGCACATTGATAAGTCTAGTGTGAGATGTTTTTATCCTGCAGCTAGCTTGTTTGTCAGCTGTTGGGTATTAAGGGTTAATTTCCACCAGGGGGAGCTTTTTCAAAAACTAGCTCTCTTCTTCAAAGGAAGATATGCAATTTAAAATCACTCCTTAGATAATTCTGATTATTGCTCCCTCACCTCACATCCATTGCCTCTAATGAGAATAAAATAAAACATATTACATAGATGATGCATATAAGTATGAAGAAAGTAAAATGACATACATTTGGAATGAAATTATTCTAATATATATGTGCAATACATTTGTATTATGTTATAGTCACATCTTAGAATATCTGTATATTAGTTCCACTGTAATTTTCCCTTTTGATTTATTTGGCTTTTTTTTTTTTTTTTTTAAGAGTACAATGATGGACAAAAGAAATTAATAAAAATTAGCAGTGCAATTTGAAAGTATATTTGAAGTTCTAGGATTAGGTCAATTGATTATTTACAGAGAATTTTAATGAGTAATTGTAGAGAGTTTATTTAGTATAATGGACTTCTTTTTCAGGGGTATTTTGCCTATGAATCCTAGGAATATGATGAACCACTCCCAGGTTGGTCAGGGCATTGGAATTCCTAGCAGGACAAATAGCATGAGCAGTTCAGGGTTAGGTAGCCCCAACAGAAGCTCGCCAAGCATTATATGTATGCCAAAGCAACAGCCTTCTCGACAGCCTTTTACTGTGAACAGGTAAGATGTTTATTGATACTGTGTATAATTGTCTTTCTGGGTATTTTCAAATTTGCCTTTTCATATTCAGCATTCTGTTCTTGAGTCGTGGCTTCTGTCTCAAAAGTGTTTCATCATATATTTATGACCAGAGATTCTCTTTCTGTTACACATCACAATTTTAACCTCTCCAAATTCAAGACACATTATTTTGAAAATCAGTTCTATTTTAGAAAGCACATTATAGCTTTTTATTGTTGCTCTTAGAAGAGGATTGTTTTTAGGTTGCCACCAGGCAGATTTTTGTTGGTGTGTTTTTCCTCTATTAAATGAGGCTGGTCACCTGTGCATTAAGAATTTTATACTTCTGAATAGGACATATTTGACTGTTATTGCCTTGCTTCATTTTGGCTTTGGTTAAGTACCTTTTCAACTGAAATTCAGTTTTGTACTTACTTTGGAGACTTTTTGAACAAAGGCTTTCTCCGACTACATCTTTCAAGTATTTGAAAATTGTCATGTCCGGGGATTTAAAACAAAAAGATGAACTCTTAACACCTTTTCCTGCCTTTTTGCACTATCCATTCAGTATTCTCTTGTGCAACTAATAACAATACATGAGAGTTGTATCTACAATATAAGGCTTTCTTTCTTGCAAAGATAACATTTAAGTTTGCCAATATTTTTTAAATGGGGAACACCAGGGAAAAAGAGGACCTTGATCTAGTTGGTATTATCATACCCAGTTATTTCACTTTCTTTTATCTAGTACTTGTAAAATCTGAATTAAAATAGGTTATTAGGACATTTTCTTTTTAATCTTCATCTCATAAGCTTCAATTCTTTTACTTAGACTTAGGAACATTTCTTTTATAATCATACTGCTTTTTAAATTTTAAGTTATTACTTGTTAAAGGGTTATCAAAATTCTCATCTGCTTGATAGCTTCCTAATCATGCAATACTTCTTGAGCTTTATCACATCTTTCCCCATTCTTATAGTATTGTTCATTGAATGTATATTTAAATTTTTGCCTTTCCATATTTTTTCACATTTTAATTGTTTTTAAAAATAATTTGTTTATAAACTGTCAATAATACTTTGGATCTTTAAAACCCAACTATTACTATTGATGAGTTATATTTATAATAGAATGTTTTCATCTCTTAGCACTTATTCAGTGTTTGAGGGGTACCTGTATCAGCAATTCTAATATGCTATTAAACCAACATTTCTATAGGCTTTCCTACTCTTATCTAAAGTATTGTTGTTGCAAGCTACATATTTTATGAAAATATTGTTTGGTCATGGTTAGTTTTTTGGATATAGGCAAAAAAAAACAGGACACCTGTTATCTTCAAACAGTTTAACCTCGTAAGAACACAAAAACACTGTCTTTTATGAGACTTTTTGATGTTAAAAATCTTACTATCATTGTAGAATTGGCATTAATTCCTTTTAAAATTCTTAATTACTTCTGGCCTTGCTTTAAGTTGAGTCTTATTTTTTGCTTTTCTTTTTTCCATGTTTAGGCTTGTGCAAAAAAAAAAATTAAAAAAGAAGGCACTTGTAACTATTTACCAAGTACCAATTGTTCATTAATTTTTAAAATTGAGGGGACTACAGGAAGATATGTTTTTCTTTTAAGTATCTGAAAGATAAACTATATTTAAATAAGAATGATGTGTTTTATAACACTGAATTTAGTTAACGAAAAGCACCATTTACTTCAGGTGAACTAAATGTTTGAGTACCTATTTTCTCCTGAACACCTATGGACAGAGGATGCACAGATGAATAGGACGTGGACTCGGTTTATGAGGAGTGTATTTTCTAGTTGAGGAAGAAAGATTGTATCCAAAAAACCTTTTATGGACAATAACAGTAGCACACTTTACCAGTAGTTGAAGTATTCAGGAACAGTGGTCCTACACTAAACTGCATAGTTTTTTTGTTGTTGTTTGTTTGTTTTTTCTGTTTTATTTTTTTATTTTTTTATTATTATTTTTTAATTTTATTTTTTTTTAATTTTAATTTTATTTTATTTTCCCCCCTCCCTCCCTCCCACCCATCCCCTCCCTCCCCAGAGCTTTATGTCCATTGGTTGTACTTATATGCATGTATACAAGTCCTTCAGTTGATCTATTATCTCCCCCAGATCCTCCTCCCCTCCCCGCTGAAATTTGACAGTCTGCTTGTTGCTTTACTGTCTCTGTATCTATCTTTTGGTTCATCATAAACTGCATAGTTTTGAGGTTAGTTCTGCCAGTATATCCAGTAAGGTGACTCTCCAAGAAGACTAAATGGTACCTTTAATCTTTGTTTTCTTCAGACTTGTAAATTTTTTTGTTTTTTGTTTCTTAAGTCGTCTGTGTAAGATGTTTGGTTCTCTATTGTTCATGGGAGGTCTTAGGGAGATTTTAAAATAAATTTAAAGAATTAAACTCAGGAGAACAAAATTAGTATTTGTTTTAAAACATATTGTTGTTTTATATGAGGAGACCAAAAGTATACACTTTTGTTTATCTTCATCTGAAAGGTAGTGTTCTTACTGTATATCTAAAATTATTTTCTATGTACCCAGTATGTCTGGATTTGGAATGAACAGGAATCAGGCATTTGGAATGAATAACTCCTTATCAAGTAACATTTTTAATGGAACAGGTAAGCTTATTTTGGAGATAGTACCCTATAATAAACATATGGTAGATCTTTGAAATATAAAGCAATTGAACATACTGGTCTTAAAATATTACAGGATAATTTTTTTGTGTGTTAAATTGGTAGAATTTAATCTAGGAAGAATTTGACAGGAATAGAACAATTCAGTGAACAGTTTAGAGATATTTAAATATATTTTTCACTTGGCATGGTAAAAACATTGTTTTATAACTTCAGTATTATTTCCTTAATACCTAGAGGATCCTAAATATTAACTAAGTCTTTATACATGCCTCCAAATCTTTTTTGCTTTAGGAACTTTTCCTATCTGCAGTCCTGTCACCATTGTCTAAACTAGGTTAGGTGGTATGGCATTCTAGCCATGAGATTCAGAATGAAGAAATCTTTAATATTATATGGAGCCCCTTACAAGTTTTTCTTAACAGTTTTAATACTGATTTTGGCATTTTAACCCTTAGAAATTTTATGTGATAAAATTCAAAATTACCTGGGAAAACAACTCTGATATTGACAGTAAAGAATTCTTGCAGTCTGTTGACTTATTTCTTTTAGCATCTCCTTCAGACCAAATAGGAGGCTGTGTGCTATTCTGCTACAGGTTTCGCCCTCTTCTACCCTTGCCTCCTGAGAAAGGAAATAAAAGATGCTGTTATGGTCATAGGAGCCAAAATGAATATGATTGTTGAGAGAGAAATGTATGTAAAAGAATTAGAAGGTGAAAGAATGATCAGTTAAATGGAGCATATGTGGAAGCTTGAAAGAAGATGAAATGTCATCTGTGGCTCTAGACTTTGATTTTTAAAGTTCTCTCTTTAGCAGCATGGGTTGATCAAATGAGACTTTAAAATTCCAAGTGTTAGCATTTAAAAGTTACTGATTTGTGTTCAAGATGTTAAATAATATAAAGTACCACATCCCATTATTTCTAAAATGTACATTTAAAAAAGTATTTTAATATCTCTGAAATTAAACAGCATCTCATAGTTTAAGGCAAAACATTTTAAATGTACCATAAAGTAACTGTCTGACAATACCACCTTATATTCTGAATTATGGTTTTATAAATTTTAGAATTATTTTTAAAATTCAGTTTTAACTAAAAACATTTCACAATAGGAAAATTGCTACTAAATTCCTAAAAATATAAATTTGGGGGTTAATTATCTGTTTTTAAGTAAAAACTATTTTCAGATAACATGGCAATTTAATTTCTTCTTAGAGGACCTGAATATGTATATTAAAAATTAATATGTAGTTAATTTATAATCAAATGATTGGAAAGAGATTACTATATAGATTGAAATTGTGAATTGTTAATTTCTATCTTATTCATATAGTATATTATTAAAACTTAAAATTCATCGGCTTCAATTTAAAAAAGCAACTACAATGGGTATGAATGATTTTTTCTTTTACCCTCCATAATTTTAAATTGCCACCTAACTTGGAATGTTAAGAGAATGTATTTTTTCTATCAGCAATTATCTTGAGATAAAACTGTTTTTTTTCCTCAGAATTTTCTAATTAAGCAACTTGGAGAAAAATTAAAATTAACTGGAAAGAAGGCAAAATAAAGTAAGAATGGTTAAAAAACACTAGGTGAAAGAAAAGCTATATTTCAGGCTAAAACCAAGGTAGAAATTAAATTCTTTAAAAATTAGGAATCAAGATTGTAAGAATTATAGAATAATAGAAATTAAAAAAAACAAGGGGATGATTAAAATAGGCAAAGTATAAATGTTGGGTTAAATTTTAACTTTTAAAAGGAAGCAAGATGAGTTTGTAAAAATTTAAAATGAAGAAAAATAAATTTTATCTAACATATTTATTGAGCGCCTACTGTGTAATAGGTAAAAAAAACTTTTGGTCTTTATATCATATTCCCATGCTTCCTAAGCATTCAACAGACATAGGAACTGTACCCTACTTATGCTACTCTGCTTTTTTCCTCAACAAAATGCACATGCACTCACACACATGCATATATACCTGTGATGAGACCAATAGACTACAGGAAAGAAGTTCTTACGGTTTCTGTTTCCACTGCTTTCCTTCAGATCTTATTCTGGCCATTTGCAGGAGGCACTGTTATTCTCACACTTGTATATAATTGAAGCTCCAAGCATTTCAGATAAAAGCTCTACTTTTGGATATAATGGAAAGAGCAGTTATATCACAATAAGCTCTCTCTTGTTAGCTAAAAAGCTATAACTTTAGAGTATCATCTTTCACTGGGAAAATACAGTGTACCACCTTATTATTTATTCTTTACCTTAAAACTTTAAGATTTAAAATTTTTGTTATGCTAGTTACATTTTTCTTTGCTGAATTGTTCATGAAATTCTTTTATGTGAAATCAATCCATAAATATTTATTGTACACCTGCATATACCTAGTACAGTGCTGTGCATTATATAGCAAGAAGGCACTGTAATTTCAAATTATATTATGGTTGGCCTCTAATAATATCTATAAAATGTTGGTTGAATCAATAACAGGTGTTCCTTCTTATTATTTAGATGGAAGTGAAAATGTGACAGGATTGGACCTTTCAGATTTTCCAGCATTAGCAGACCGAAACAGAAGGGAAGGAAGTGGTAACCCAACTCCATTAATAAACCCTTTGGCTGGAAGAGCTCCTTATGGTAATTAAGCTTTTTAATGATGGCCAATGGAAACTTTCCATTGCACATACATATACACGTACTGGAATACGTGTGTGTATGTTTTCGGATCAGAGTAGTATAATTTGTTGGATATATTCAAAGTGTATTTTCCTCCCAGAATACCATCATAGCAAAGTTAAATGGGAAAACTTAGTTTGTACAGAAACACCAAAAGGAAGTCCTCAATGTTATTCAGTAGTTATTTTCTTCTGGCAGTTCTGCATTGATACACCTTAATGATTTTGTGATCTACCTTTTATTAATTTGTCACACATTTTTTAAAAGAATACATTATTAGTGATTAATAATGACTGACCATACAGTAAATATTGTTTTCTAAGCCAGTTTTTTGGCCTCCACACTATTGACATTTGGGTCAGATAATTCCTTGTAAATGAGGGGCTGTCTTGTACATTATAGGATATTTAGCAACATCCCTGGCCTCTGCCTACTGGATGCCAGTATCCCCTCTTACCTCTCACCTCTCATCCTTCCCCCATTGTGACAACCACAGATGTCTCCATAATTGACAAATGTGTGGGAGGGAGGAATTGCCTCCTGTTGAGAACCACAGCTCATGGGTCATGTATAGTTTATGTAGACTTTCTGTCACCATTAAAATACCCCATTTTACTGACTCTAATAAGAAATTTGTTTGATAGATGCTAAATGAAAAGAAGAGGGATGCTAAATATTGTATTTTCCTTGTCCTTTAAATGTTCAAATGTATACAATACAGGATTTATTTGTATATTATAGGACAGTTGTAGAAACATGTGCAGTAACAATTTAGATATGAAAATTAGGTAGCTGCAATGTAGCCGTATTCTTTGTATTCCTCGCACATAGTAGGTAATTGTTTCTTTCTGGCAGAACCTGATAGAGACCAGTAGCAGAAAACAATGAACTTAGAGGGATCAGTTCATCACTCTTACAACTGTTTTTTCCCATTTTCAACCTAGAAGAATTTTCATGCCTTTCAGAATATGAATACAAATAATATATGAAGAAGGGAAAAAGTAATTGTTCATATTCTGAAGTTTCCAAATAGTCTTCCAAAAATAACAAAAAATGATCTGGAAGTTGAGTACCTAGCTACTTGATTCTCAGTTCAGACTCTAATGTTTTTAACCTTTCCTCATAGGTCCACTTTTTCATCCCTTTAATCATTCCCGTTGCTCTCCTTGGACCAACTCTAGTTTCTCCATATCGTTCTTGAACTGTGGCGCCCCAAACTGGATATTGTTCTCCAATAAGGGCCAGACTAATGCCAAGTATAGTGGGAGGATTACTTCCCAGTTCTTGCATGTTTTACATCTATTACATGGAGTCCAAGAAAATCTGAAATAATACGGAGTTGTTTAATAATTGATTGCAATTTGCTCACTCTGTAAGTCACTTTCAAGTAGAATACTGACATATTCTCTTAAAACTTATTTTGTTCATTTGTATTTGACAACTGTTTTTATAATAGCTAGTCAAATATTTAAAACAAGCTTTTAAACAAAAAATTATTAATGATTATTATCAATATCAAATTATGTCTTAAACACTTATTTCCCTTGCATTATTTTGTAAATTGGGTTATTAATCAATATATAAAAATTTAGTTCTTTATTGTTATTCTGAATACTAATTTTTTTGAAGTATGCTTTCAGAGCAAAATAATAAATATTTTTGGTATATTATGAGGGAAGTTAACTTTTTTATAATTTTTAGCAAAATATCATAAATATCAATTGCAATTCTCTGGATTATTTTCATTACATAGTTGGAATGGTAACAAAACCAGCAAATGAGCAATCCCAGGACTTCTCAATACACAATGAAGACTTTCCAGCATTACCTGGTTCCAGCTATAAAGATCCAACATCAAGTAATGATGACAGTAAATCTGTAAGTAAATGAGAATTATGTATGTCAATAATGTAGTGTTTTCCCTTCAGATTTCTCTTATATTAACAGTTTTATAGACTATAGATTATATTAAGGACTTACTAAATACTATTACAAAATTGTTTATCTTGAATATTCATAATAATCTAACTTCTGAAGAATGTGGACACTCTATAACTTAGAAGATAGCCTATTTTTTTCCTATTTCATATAGGTTTGCAAATTTCTGTTGAACTTCTCAGAGTTAATTTAGACTTTTATTGTAGTCCCTGTCAGCTGGATCCCATGAAGTTTGATATTATAGCCTTCTAAGGAGCTGTGTTTTTCTTGAGTAAGTTTTCTCCTTGAAGAATCTTTATACACATTTTTATTCCTGTGTTGATTCAGCCAACTCAGCTTCCTCTTTCTGACTTAATGAATATGTTTATTTCTTCCACATTGCACTGAAAGTGGCTTTTTTTTGTGTGTGTGGTCGAAGTTTGTATATTAAAATATTTGTTAAAGAAGAATATTGGGTAAGAATTAAAATAAATATGAATTTTAAAAGTGCATATGTTCTGACTTATCTTGGAGGTTTTTAGGGTGATGTTTAGGTATTTAGTTTCTCTTCTAAATGAAAATATTGAAGACTTATAATTTCAAGTGTATCCTAAGATGATGGTTAATATATTTTGTCTGTGACTGAAAATCTGAGATAAATAAGAATATTTTTCAGCCCTGACTGATTTGGCTCAGTGGATAGAGTGTCGGCCTGTGGACTCAAGGGTCCCAGGTTCAATTCCAGTCAAGGGCATGTACCTTGGTTGCAGGCATATCCCCAGTGGGGGGTGTGCAGGAGGCAGCTGATTGATGTTTCTCTCTCATCAATGTTTCTAACTCTCTCTCCCTTTTCCTTCCTCTGTAAAAACATCAATAAAATATTTTTTAAAAAGAATATTTTTCATTTATTTCTTGTCCTTTAAATGTTCAAGTGTGTATAATACAGGATTTATTTGAATACTAATATGACAGTTGTAGAAACAAAAAAATTTAATGTAGAACTTGGAACAGGTAATAATTTACTGCCAAATTAAATATACTAAAGAATGAATAGAAATGTGAATTTGAAATGTTTATATGTAACAAAAATTAATGTTATGTTTAATTTTTTTTTTTTCATGTTAGAATTTGAATACATCTGGCAAGACAACTTCAAGTACAGATGGACCCAAATTCCCTGGAGATAAAAGTTCAACAACACAAAATAATAACCAGCAGAAAAAAGGGATCCAGGTGTTACCTGATGGTGGGACTCCATAAAATATGTCAGTGGTATTACAGAATTATTTTATTTTTTTACTTTTTCAGCAAAGATAAAAATGACTATGTTTTTCTTATTCAGGTCGGGTTACTAACATTCCTCAAGGGATGGTGACGGACCAGTTTGGAATGATTGGCCTGTTAACATTCATCAGGGCAGCAGAGACAGACCCGGGAATGGTACATCTTGCATTAGGAAGTGACTTGACAACATTAGGCCTCAATCTGAACTCTCCTGAGTAAGTTTTTTTCTTTCCTTCCACATTTGTACATAAGACCTGCCTGCATATCATCAAATTGTATCACCTGCTGCCACTAATTGTTGCTGTTATCTGTTGACTCATGGGTCATATTAGCTCCTGTATCTCTGTCATTTCACAATATTACTTCTCTTATAATTTGGCAGTTAAACACATATATGATCTTTCCAAATCCTAACATCTCAGCTCCTTGAATTTCTCTCCTCCAAAAATCTTACTCTTCTACTATAGCTCACCTGCTTATCTCTTTTGTCATCCTTTTGAACTTGCCATTACTAGTAACTTTAGTTTCTCTGTAATGTTAAGTCTGTGCTCCCATGCCACTTCTTATCTTCTATCTCTCTCTCTGTAGTGTTGGCCCCTGTAATCATTTGACTCTTTTGGGACCTTTATTCCATTCTTTTACCTTTTTGTTATTCCAAAATATCCCTGTCTCTGTTTCCCTGCAGTGAACCTATATCTCTACCTATTCTATTTTTGACCTGTGCTATTGAGCCTGGCGGGAGAGAAACTTACAGCTTCACTGCCAGGTTTCAATGTAGTGTAGGTGTATAGCCAGGAAAGGGAAAAGTAGGACCTTAATTTTGCCAACCATAGTCATAACAGCATGCCTAATCCGTTTATTCTTTTGCTGTTTTATGCAACTATTTTATATTTGCCTATTCAAACCCCTTACTCTCAGGTGATGGCCTTGGTTTTTTTTTTCTATTTTTTAAAAAAAGATGGAAGCAATCAGAAGAGAATGTCAGCATAGTCCTCCAACCAAATCTAGCTATTTACTATCATCTGCACTCCCCTTATCTTGCACACTGTTGTTGTAGTTGATCCATTCTTTTCTTTGTTGGGTTATTTCTGTCAGCATACAAATATGTTATTACTTTCATATTAAAAGTACTTCTTGATCTAATGCCAAAACCTCCCCCCCCCCCATTTTTATATTCTCCTTTGAAGTAAAATTCTTTAAAAGAGCCATCTCTGTAAATCCCATTAGGACATTCTTCTATTCTTTGTTAATATTTTGTTCCTGCTACACTAAAACTACTCTTGTCAAGGTCATCAAATGAGCAGTGTGTTAATAAATTCATTGGTCACTTTCAGAAACTTATCCTTTTTTGGCCTGTCAGCAACATTTGACATACATAGTTAGAAGCACTGCTGCCTTGCTTCTCACTAGTTTGACTGCTACCATCCTGTTTTGAATCACCATCCCTTCTTGCCTGGATTATTCCATTAGCTAGCTAATCACTGGTTATTTTTTCTTCTTTCTTTACCCCACACAATCTCTTCTTTACACAGCAGCCAGGACAATTCATTTTTAATAAGTTTATTCTCTGCTATATACCCAGTAATGATTCATAGTTTCGTTATGATTAAAAACCCAAAATATTTACAGGCTTTCTAATATCTGTAGGCCTGATTTCTGTCTCTCCAACAGCTTCTCCCTTTGTTTACTCTGTCTCAGCTTCACTGGCCTTTTTGCTGTACCGCAAACATTTCAGTTATAGCTCTGCCTTAGTGGTTCTAGCAGTTTCCTTAGATTAGGAAAGTCTTTGGCAGATAAATAATGGTTAATTCCTTACATTCTTCAAGTCTTCGTTCATATCTGACCTTTTAAATGATACCTAACCTGATACCTATATTTAATTATATAACTAATCTCCTTTCTCTGCCCCTCCACTAATGGGGAATATTATTTTTTATGTAAATTGTTTTTGTCTGCCTCCCTGCAATTCACCATCCTGAACCGAAAAGTAAGTTTCATTTTGTCAGTGAGCTTTGCTTTCTTTGTTGATGTATTTCAAGCACCTGTAATGGATCCAGGCATATAATAAGCATTCAATAAATTATTTGCTTTTAATAATTACTGTGGGTTTTTTGGACCATAAAAATGGGAAAGTGATTTTACTTGGGGCATGGCATTAATGATTTCTAAGCATAGACATAGATATCTGTATGTCCAGTTGTTCATATGGAAAAAGGCATGCAGGTTATGATTATTACAATAGCTTTATTGACTCAAAAGAATGTCATAATGCAACTGTAAACCTACCTTTGCCAACCCCTGTATATATATAAAACCTTGTTTCAGTTTCCTGCTGTATATAAGTCATAGTAAACCCAAGAAAGGAAATTAGAAATAAAAAGTTAATCTTTTTGAAGTTAATTGTTTTTCCTGATTTCCTGAACTAAAATTAGAACTCTTTTTTTCTACCCTGGACTTCAGAGTGTGTTTTTTTCCCCTCCTTTATTCAGAAATCTCTACCCCAAATTTGCATCACCCTGGGCATCTTCACCTTGTCGACCTCAAGACATAGGTAGGAGATTGTATTTGTGTTAAGACCTTTAAAAGATATATTTATAACTGAGAATCAGTTAATAAGGCTTTTTTTATTTTATTATCTAGACTTCCATGTTCCATCTGAGTACTTAACGAACATTCACATTAGGGATAAGGTGAGTGTAGTTTATTATTCTACTCAGCATGAATTTATAAGTACTCAGGCACTGTTTTTCAGTTCAGATAGCATAATATTTTAAAATAATTACCAATGGTCTCAGGTATGATTTCATATGTTCATTCAGCTATATGTAGCAATTTTATTTCTACTTTGGTTTATAATTTTAATGTTTTTGATGAGGTTCTGGGTTACATTTTTAAAATATTTTCAACAAAACAATTTTAGGACTGATAAAATATTGCTTTATAGTTATCAGTAACAGGGTACAATCATAACTATAGTTGATGGGAATAAACAAACTTGAAATATTTAATAGATTCCTTCTCATGTTCATACAGAAGAAGACATGCAGGTTATGATTATTACAGTAGCTTTATTAACGCATAAGAATAGTACAATGCAACTGTAAACCTACTTTTGCCAATCTCTGTATATATAAAATCTTTTTTAGATTTTATATCCTTATCTGTTAGAAATATTTTCTTATAGTGCAGATACAGGGTTTTTAATAGAACTATATATTATTTTTTTCAAAACGGTTTATGACTTTTGACTTTTTTCTGTTTGGTTTTTTTTTCTTTCTACTTTTGAATTACCTAAAATTCTAATTATAAAGTAATTGTTAACAGATTGCAGCTTTAATTTTTTTTCCCCCCCTAGTCAAAGAAAGAAAGTGGGAAACACTTTAGGGAAAAGAACTAAGAGTTTATCTTTGTTAGAAATGGTACCTGGATTTTGGCCTTGTGAAAGATATAATACATTAAAATTACATATTTGTGTTATTCATTTGTGTATAGTGGCTAATGTAAATGACAGTGTTCTGCATTTGTATTAGTTATGTAGCCAAATCAATGTTGATGTTGTGGACAGGCAAGTAAAGAAATATATTTCTCCCTATGTCTTAATTTTTAAGTTAGGTGGAAGATAAGTATGAGATGGATAGTATCTTTTTCTATTTTTGGATTGTGTGATTTGTTGCCACCTCCATTATAGGGCTCTTTTGCTCCTAGTACTTAAAGGTTCCAGACCATTTCTCAGTGCCAATTTAAGAAATACTAACAGGATGATTTGACACATTTGGTATTGCTACCTGAATGGGGATAATATGAATGGAGAAAAAATTACATTCAGATAACATGTAACAGTTAAGTAAATACTTAAATACAGGATTAAGTAAAAAGATAAAAGTATTTTTGTTTTGGTGAGCATTTAAGATTTATATTAATATCTCACCATTTATATATTTGGTGAGAATTTGAGACTATTGAACTCACATTTTATAGTTTGGTAGGCAATTTGTTTCTGCTTTCTGAGGGACTTGTAAAGCAGTCATTTTAATACATTCATTTAAACAAAAAAAAAGTCTCTTCATGATTTTTGTACTAAACATCCATGATTTGCTAAATATATATAACCAACTGACTTGTGGTTGTGTCATTGTCAAATGTAGATTCAGTAACATTTTCTGTGAGTCTATCAGACATTCTACAAGGCTTGTTCACGTACAATCACTTAATTTCATTTTTATTCTTAGTAACTCTTATAAGATGTCATTGTCTACACTTTATAATTGAAAGTTTAGAGACATTAAATTACTTGAACATGGTATGTTAGTAAGTAAAGGAATTATGTCTTAAATATATAAGTGCTGAATCTTTGAGCACAATGTTTCACTATTACCTACTCCCACATTGGTTAACTGATAAATCCCTTAAGTAAGACATTCAGCTTTTGAACTTAATTGGAAGTTTTTATTTAGCTCTTTTCCTAGTAGTACATAAAATAGATGTATCAGAAGTAATTGTTAAATAACTTCAATTACTTAAATAATAAACTACCCTAAATGATGAAACTCTTCTTTAGAATTATAGCTACTTGTATAATCATGTAATAGTAGTTATCTGCTATAAAGAGAATTTGTTTCTGTTTTTACTTTAGTGGTAACAGTTATATGATAAGATTTCCAGTCTTGTTTTACATTTGAGAATAATTTATTTCTCTTTTCCAGCTGGCCGCAATAAAACTTGGCCGATACGGAGAAGACCTTCTCTTCTATCTCTATTACATGAATGGAGGAGACGTATTACAGCTTCTAGCTGCAGTAGAGCTGTATGTTCAAAATACTTTTTAAACAATTTTTGTAATATAGTGGATCTTGTTTACTCTGAAAGCTGCTTTTTAAAAAAAAAAATGATGATGGCTATAGCTTTTGTCTTTTGTTTTTAAAGTGCAAATATTTCTCCATTAAAAATTTATTTTTAAATTTAGTAAAATAAAGTTAATTTATATTGAAACCTTAGATTACTATGGCTTCATAATCACTATGTACATAAAAAGAATTCTAACTTAACCCTAAGTTTGTAAGAAGCCTGAAGGCAGAATCAACTTGGATCATGGATTTGGTGAATCTAATTTTTATAAGATATGGTTCATAACTGGTTCATCTGAGTCCTTGTGGAACCACATATGTTAATGACAGTGAATTTCATCATTAAATAAATATTATGTGGACAAGATATCGGGTCTAGTAATAATTAATGTCGTTTTTAAACATTCGTTTAAAATCTTGCTTGGCGTTGACTTGTATTGACATAACCTTCAAACACGTGGTTTCTACAGAATGTGTGAAGTGCAATTAACAAGTTTTGCTTGAAAAAGTTTGTGTTTGGTTTGGTTTTTGTTGCAAAACTAGGGCTAAGAAGATGGCGGATGAAGAGCATATTCGGCACTGCATGCTTTACGAGTTCCAATTAGGAAGAAAAGCAAGTGAGGCGCAAAAAACATCTGTAGTGCTCTTGGTCAAGATGCAGTTAGCGCCAGAAAATGCCAGCGTTGGTTTGAGAAATTTCGCGAGGGAAATTTTTCGTTAGATGACAAGAGTGGTCGAGGCCATGTGTCCAATTTTGATCAAGAAGCTCTTCAAGCTCTTTTGGTGCAAAATCCTCAAATTACCCAACAAGAGCTTGCGACAACTTTAAATTGTTCACAGAAAACAATTTCCAATCAATTGCGTGCACTTGGCAAAGTCCAAAAGTTTGGAAAATGGGTTCCTCATGAGTTGACCGACAACAACCGTAATCAAAGAGTCACAATTTGCAGTTCGCTCCTCTCTCGTCAAAACCGTTTGCCGTTTTTAGAGCAAATTGTTACCGGAGATGAAAAATGGGTGCTGTATGTTAATTTGAAAGGTGGCCTCAATGGTTGGACAAAAATGAGGCTCCGCAGCCCATGCCAAAACCTGACTTGCTTGCGAAAAAAGTGATGTTGTGTGTTTGGTGGAATTTTAAAGGAATTCTTCATTATGAACTTTTACCATCTAACCAAACCATTACAAGTGCAGTGTATAGTGCCCAATTGGAAAGGTTAGCCCAAGCTTTAAGAGAAAAAGAACCCGCGCTGATTAATCGGAAGGGCGTAATTCTTCACCACGATAACGCCCGACCGCATACTGCAAGAATCACTGCTGAAAAACTGCACCAGTTGGAATGGGAAGTTCTCCCTCAACCTGCATATTCTCCTGATATTGCCCCTTCCGATTACCATTTGTTTCGTTTTTTGCAAAACTTTCTTGGAAAAAAATTTAATAATGAAGAATGCCTCAAAAATGCATTGACTGAATTTTTTGCATCAAAATCACAAGAATTTTACAACAGAGGGATTAAAATGCTTCCTGAGCATTGGGCACAAGTAGTAGAAAACAACGGCAACTATATTGTTGATTAAATTTTGTTGTATTGTTTAAATAAATTTGATTTTTTTAAAGTATTAGAAAACGACATTAATTATTACTAGACCTAATATAAGGAAATAAATTCATCCATCCATCACTAGCTATTTTGTCTCATATCGTATTTCTAAAAATTACCTCATGGTATAAGTAGAAAGGTATTTGTTTATGTGGAGATTTTATGTGAATTTAAACAGTTAATTCAAATAGATATTATATTTAGTTCCAAACAAAATAATTCAAGTAGTTAGCATTTTTGTTTGTTTTAATAGATATTTCAATTTCTGTTGAATATTTAGAACAAAAAAGTGAAGTTTCTAGAACACAATCGATCTTTATTTGGTCTCCCTAACATTTTACCACATCACTCATAGTTTTTAAGATCTCGTTCTGTTTGCATTAAAACTTTCTTCAGTTAAGTAAAGATGTGGGTTTTGGGAAAATTAAATTATTTTCCTGTGTTTATTTCACTAGGATTGTATGTAATAACAATAAAAGTCAGGACAAATAAAGATTCTTATTTATTTATTTTATGTGTAATAATTTTCTTTAAAAAGTTTTAAAAATGTGAACCACAGGAAAAAAATTAATTGTCTTTTTCTCTTAAAAATTGAAGTTTTAACCGTGATTGGAGATACCACAAAGAAGAACGAGTATGGATTACCAGGGCACCAGGCATGGAGCCAACAATGAAAACCAATACATATGAGAGGGGAACATATTACTTCTTTGACTGTCTTAACTGGAGGAAAGTAGCTAAGGTATATATTTTGTTCATGTGTAAATGTATAAATCTAGAGTTAAAAAAGAAGTGACCTCTCTTGTCTGTTTATATGTACCAATGCATTCATTTTAGTAACGTGCCAGGTATTTGATCTTTTGTCTCTACCTCCTCAGCTTGATTTAACTCTAGGAGAGTATGCAGAAACTGTTCATTTCACTCACAGTTAGAAACATGATTGAACTTGGTAAGAAATTTTGTAATTTTTCAAAAGCCTGCGTGACATTTTAAATATTTTGTTTCTACTCAGTTGTAAAATAAAGATACACTTGTGCAGTGCCAGTCATGTATTATGTTATAATTAACTTTTTATTAAACAGGTCTGAGATTTCCCTGAAACCAATATATAAACAGATATAGTGTTTTAAAACAATTCCACTCATTGAAAAAAAGCTTTTTAGAGTTTTGAAACAGAAGACTGTTCATTGGATGATTTTTTAGTTGTTAGTTTGGGGGAGGGGGGGGGTTATTTTTTTTTCTTTTGAGTCAGCTTACTAAACTGATAAAAAGGTAAAATATTTTAAGAAAACAATGTAAAGTGCTTACCAGATATTTATCACGAAAAACGTTTTACATCATAATATTTCTTAGAAAACTTGAAAAATACAAAGGATTAATTTTTTTAATTACTGTTTTGAGGTGTTTTCTGAAAGATAAATGTCATTACTTTTCAGACCAAGTCCGTATACCACTATAGACTGTATTTGAGTTATTTTAACAATTCTACTTAAGCATTTCTTGATTTCAAAAGATAGATCTGTGTTCTAACTTTTTAGTTATGTTAAAATAATTATACTCATTACAAATAGTACATAAGACGTTGTGTATATTACGTGTTCTTTAAGAAGTGATAGTGTAATAGAAAGCCATAGTCTTTGTTGACATGGATTTAAATTTAACTCCTATTTCTGCTATTTTTTGCTTTCACCTTGTGCAAGTTCCTTTTAAATTGAAATACTTGCCTCTAGATTGTCATGAACTTTAAATGAGATTACACACAAACACATTTACACTAAATGTAGTGCTTGGCAAATATTGGTTATTTATATATGAGAGTAGCTGTGATAGTTTATTGCTGCTATTTTTACCATTGTTATTACAGCTTATTACTTTTTCCCAAAGATGGAAAAACAATAATTGATTGTTGTTAGGTTAGGCCAATAGTCCTCAAATTTAAGTTTATATCAAAATTACCTGGAGGCCTTTACACAGATTGCTTGGCCATAATGCCATTGTTTCTGATTTAGTAACTTTGTAGATGGGACCTGAGAATTTTTATTTCTAAAAAGTTCCCAAGTAATGCCAATTATGATGCTGGTCTTTGTCTGGAGCCATACTTTAAGAAACTCTCAGTTAGTTGATTCTGTAGGAGAGAGAAAGTCTCTTTGGAGGATAAAAAATTCTATTAGGAAATAACTGAAGTTTTTTCCATTCAATTTGAGGCTTTTGCTCAAAATCATTGTAAATTATTCCAAATTTAGTATATGCAAAAAAGAGATGGATGTGTGAAGTAGATAGATATATAACTTTAGATAAATTTCAGTTCAGTATATGTGAAGAAAATCAAGTTATGTGAAAAATACTTGTTTTCTATAGAACTAAGTTCTCTCCATAAAGTTAAATATTCAGAAACAATTTAATAGGGCATCTATTAAACATTAATAGGACCCCTTATTATCTCACAAAAGAAAATCCGTAGTCAGATAAATGTCATTTTAAAGAATATTTTGTTTGTGAGTGTGTGTACACACGCGCACACAGAAAATAATTTTACCCAATTTTATCTCGTATTATTGAAGTTTTTCTTAACCTTTTCCTTTAAAATTTTTATCTGTGAAGTAGGAAAATAAAATTTGGGAAATATCACTAAACTGTTCCCTAAGAAATATCTCTTAAAGTAATGTGCTAGCCCCTTGTACTGATACTCTTCAACAAAATTATTTTCATAGTAATGAAAGCAAGTGGAATTTTGATCTTTATCAAATTTATTTTGGTTGTATTAAAATACACGTTTAGCTGAAACTGATTTGGCTCAGTGGTAGAGCGTCGGTCTGCGGACTGAAAGGTCCCAGGTTCGATTCTGGTCAAGGGCATGTACATTGGTTGCGGGCACATCCCCGGTAAGTGTGCAAGAGGCAGCTGGTCGATGTTTCTCTCTCATTGATGTTTCTAGCTCTCTCCTCCTCTCTGAAAAAAATCAATAAAATATATATTTTTTTAAATGCCTTTTAAAAAAATACACGTTTATAAATTTAAACCAAATTGTATTGTATTCACAGAATACACTTTTGCACTGGCTTCTGTTTTTTCAGGCTGTTTCCAGTATTTTTCTAGAAACTGGATTACTGAATTAAGAAATTAATTTAATTCATAGTTCTATTCATTAATAGATTCCATTATTCTACACAAACTCCATTAAAATACCAGGTCCCAAGTTAATTTCAAAGTCCTCATCTGTAAAGTGGGTGTGGCTTACTATTTATACTTAAAGAACATGCATTAAATAACTTCAACTCGTAAGAAGCATGCACTAAGAATTAGTATTATCACCGAAACTGGTTTGGCTCAGTGGATAGAGCGTCATTCTGCGGACTGAAGGGTCCCAGGTTCAATTCCGGTCAGGGGCATGTACATTGGTTGCGGGCACATCCCCAGTGGGAGGTGTGCAGGAGGCAGCTGGTCGATGTTTCTCTCTCATCGACTTTTTTAGCTCTCTGTCCCTCTCCCTTCCTCTCTGTGGAAAATCAATAAAATATTAAAAAAAAAAAAAAAAAAAAGAATTAGTATTATAACTAATAGCTTCGATGTTACCATGGTATCATGAAAAGTATTAGCCTGATTCAACTATAATCAGGTCTCCATCCAGAATATCTTGTATATGAGGTTCTTTCTTTCTCTTTAGCAAACCACTTAATATTTTTAGGGAAATTAAGAATTGTAATGTTAAGAGATTAGATTATTTATATCAGAAATACTTATCCCTAAAAATTCTGACTCTGAGTTCTAGAATGTGGCCCATTATTTATTTTTAAAATGTCTTATATGTCAATAATTTATGTACATAAAAATTTTGATAGTGCCTTTGCTTATTCTCCCCTTTTAGATAATCTTTTTTATTTATTTTTTTATTTTTTTATTTTTACCAGAGAGAGAAAGGGAGAGAGATAGAGAGCTAGAAACGTCGACGAGAGAGAAACATCGACCAGCTGCCTCCTGCACACCCCCTACCAGGGATGTGCCCGCAACCAAGGTACATGCCCTTGACCGGAATCAAACCCGGGACCCTTCAGTCCGCAGACCGACGCTCTAGCACTGAGCCAAACCAGCTTCGGCCCCTTTTAGATAATACTGACTTGTCAGCAGACAGTGTGATCTGTCCTATGTGGAATTACTCAGTATCCCACTAATTTAAAATTGCGGTAATTTGGATAGTGCGTATAGTCTTAATGAGTAAAATTTGAAAAATAATTTCATCCACAGAGAAATTTTAGATGCTAAAGTCGGCCCTGTTATCAGTAGCTTTCTCAGACTAAACTTACAAGCTTAAGAATTTTTTCAGCCTAACTTTACCAGTTGAGTCCAACATTGAATAGGATTTTTAATGCTTAGGATTTTTACCATATCATAGCCTTATATAAATAAGGGTGGTTTTTTTTTTCTTTTCATTAACTCTATTGGTACATTTTAGTGCTTTTTATACTGTAGTTAAGAATGTGCTTTTTTCAAAATAAAAATTATTTCTAATATACTATACTTAAGATAGTTTGTTCCTTCCTTCCTAAAATGTAATGAGAATTTATCATAGTTAAGGGAAAGCTGGCATTTCTGAGGATTTTGATCAGAAATAATAATTTTAATTGACATCTGAATCCAGTGCATGTATTCTATTTCTGCTTCATAGTAAACTTTTGAGAATATGTAAACCTAATTTTATTAATAGAAAAACTAAGACATTAAAAGTTGTTTTTTTAAAAGTTTCTAGAACTCTTTCTAGCCTTTAAAATAATTAAACTGTAATCTAAATTTTTTCCCATTAGAGCAAATACATACATAGATCTTCTAATACCTAAGCTTTTAATACTTCAAAAGTTAAGTGTTCTGTTTCTGAAAGAAATGAAGAAAACTGTGTTTATTAATTCATCAGCCATTAGTTACACTTCTGCTAGAGGCCTGACACTAGACAGTAGGCAATTGTACACAAAAGAAGACATCTTAGAAACCAAGATGGTGGAATAGGTAAATGCCTAAACTGCTGCCTTGTACAACTATTTCAAAACTACAACTAAAAGACAAAATGGACATCATCCAGAACCACAGGAAATCTAGCTGAGTGAAAATTCTTCAACTAGAAGGATAGAGAAAAGCATACCAAGACTCAGAAGAGCTGAAAAGGGATGAGATACGAAGACACACGAGCATGGAGAGGACTGGCAGCTGAGTGCGTGGCTGGCTTTCTCAAGCAGGAGGGAGATGGAAGCTTCCGACTGTGCTGAACTGCAGTTCCGGGTGAGACTCTGGGAACTCAAGACTCATTTGGGGAGAAACTGGACTGTCTGGCAGCGGGTGAAACTCGAGGGTGGCTTTCTCTCAGAGGTGCTTACAGTGATTACCACAGGACACTGAGACACAGGGGCCTATTAGGGCAGGGATGATGGGAAGCCAAGACTGTCTGCTCTATCCTGAGACTCTGCCCCATCCAAGCTGAGCACAAAGGCTTTTGCAATTTTGCAAGTCTTGTCTCATAACGGTTTTTCCAGCACAGAAGTTCTGCCAGTGTAGACACAGCTGATCCTCACAGCCAATTGGCCTGGAGTTCAATTCCTCCCAGTAATACCAACAACAATCAGGACTGAACTACATAGTCCACAAAGGAGTACACCAAGAATGTCCACCTCAGGTAACTGGGGAGGCTGAGCGACTGGGTCCTATGGGACACCTAGCACACAAAGCTACTCTACCAACTCAAGGAAGCAGCCAAAATGCGGAGACAAACAGATCACAAATTAAAAAAATGGAGGGAAAGCAAACGACTGGATATAGAGTTCAAAACAATGGTTATAAGGTTTTTCAAGAATTTTTTAGAAAAGGCCGATAAATTTAGTGAGACCCTCGATGATATGAAAAAGGACAAACTAAAAATTAAATATACACTGACTGAAATAAATAAAAAAATATTTTTTAATATATTGAGTTTTTACAGAGAGGGATAGAGAGCTAGAAACATCATTGAGAGAGAATCATTGATCAGCTGCCTCTTGCACACCCCCCACTCGGGATGTGCCCACAACCAAGGTACATGCCCTTGACCGGAATTGAATCTGGGACCCTTCAGTCCGCAAGCTGACGCTCCATCCACTGAGCCAAACTGGTTCCGGCAGAAATAAAAAATATTATACAGACACCTAACAGCAGACTAGAGGACTGAAAGAATCAAGTCAAAGATTTGAAATGCAAAGGAGCAAAAAACACTCAACCAAAAAAGCAAAAAGCAAAAGAATCCATAAATTTGAAGATAGAGTGTAAGGAGCCTCTGGGACTACCTCAAGCTTACCAACATCCGAATTATGGGGTTGTCAGAAGAAGAGAGAGAGCAAGATACTGAAAGCCTGTCTGAAGAAATAATAACCAAAAACTTCCCCTACCTGGTGAAAGAAATAGACTTACAAGTACAGGAAGCGCACAGAAACCCAAACAAAAGGAATCCAAAGAGGACCACACCAAGACACACCATAATTAAAATGCCAAGAGCAAAAGACAAAGAGAGAATCGTAAAAGCAGCAGGAGAAAAACAGTTACCTTCAAGGGAGCACCCATACTACTGTCAGCTGATTTCTCAACAGAAACTATGCAGGCCAGAAGGGAGTGGCAAGAAATATTCAAAGTGATGAATAGCAAGAACCTACAACCAAGATTACTCTATCCAGCAAAGATATCATTTAGCATTGAAGGGCAGGAAAAGAGCTTCACAGATAAGAAAAAGCTAAAGAAGTTGAATCTAAAAATCAAGTGAATAAAAAAATCTGATGAACAGAATAAACTGGTGAATATAAAATCAGGGGCATATAAGGGAGTGGACTGACAATTCTCAGGGAAAAAAGGGTTTGGGGATGCGGGAAGAGAATAGACAAATATTGTACACCCATGGATGAGGACACTGGGGTAGGGGTAAGGGCAGAGGGGGTGGACCGGATGGAAGGGGGTTATGGGGGGGGGGGGGGGAAGGAACACTTGTAATAATCTAAACAATAAAGATTTATTAAGCTGAAACCGGTTTGGCTTAATGGATAGAGCGTCGGCCTATGGACTGAAAGCTCTGAGTTTGATTCCGGTCAAGTGCTTGTAACTTGGTTGCGGGCACACCCCCAGTGGGGGGTGTGCAAGAGGCAGCTGATATTTCTCTCTCATAGATGTTTCTAACTATCCTCCTTCTCTGTAAAAAAAAATATTGTATGTATATATATATTTTACAGAAAAAAGATTTATTAAATTTTAAAAAAAGACATCCTTTCCCCTACAGATCATTTAGAGGTGCATATGTGTTATGTGTGTGCATATAGCATAAACATGTAAAAGATGTAATCAACAATCAAAGTTGGGGATATCAGTATATATTAAGCTTTGTGTATTTTAACAATGAAAGTATAGAAAAAACAAATAAGATTTAAAAATGGAACACTAAAGTGTGACCCATTTAATTTCTAAATCTGATATAAAAATCTTTGAGAGTCTCTTAATTATTATCCTTTATAATAAAAAAGGGTAATATGAAAGTTGACCAAGTGGTGGAAAGAGCAGTCACTATGATATGCACTGACCACCAGGGGGGCTGGCACTCAATGCAGGAGCTGCCCCCTGATGGTCATTGTGCTCTTACAGGGGGAGCACTGCTCAGCCAAAAGCCCAGAAGCCAGACTCATGGCTGGCGAGCACAGCGGTGGTGGCAGGAGCTTCTCCCACCTCTGCGGCAGTGGTAAGGATGTCCAACTGCCTGCAGAGAGCAGGCCTAAGCAGGCAGTTGGACATCCCCCAAAGGCTCCTGGGATGGGAAGAGGGTGCAGGCCGGGCTGAGGGGACTCCCCTCCCCCCAAGTGCACACATCTTTGCACAGGGCCTCCAGTATTAAAATATTTATCTTCCTAGATTTAAACTGATTTTTTTTTTTTAACATTTAAGGAAAATATATGTGCATTGATGAAACCACTGTAGTTTTAAATTTTAACAGTAGAATTCACCTAAGTGCAATGACAAAGACAGAATAATTTAACAGAATTTTAAATTTTATAACTTAGGTTTTGAGATGTGTGATTTGTCACAGTTACAAATATATAGACCTTTTACCCTATAACAACACGTAGAACTAAAATGTTAGTTTTAATTTCTAAAGAATGATAGATCAAAAAGATACTTTCTTTACTAACTTGGTATGTATCTTCAAGCCAGACAATAAATTTTTTTAAAGCCTAGCCAGGAAAAAAGAGTTGTGCTTTTACAGTGTATTAAGGAGAGCTGTGGTGATTGTGATGGTAATTTTGATATTTTTAATTTTTACTGATAAGCATGTAAGCACTGTGCTTTTGTTATTCTACAAACCTTATAAAGTGAACCTTTTTAGATTAGTCATCACTGTGTGCCTTCTTTATAAATATTCAATATTTGTCAGTGGACTGAGTTTTTCAACATTAGTTATGATAGATGGTGTAATGAAGTGATTCTGTTTTGGATCTTGGGCTAAGAATATTAAAAATAATGTTTTATACTGGGAAAGTCATGGTATTACATGGATCTGGATTCTAATCCTAAACCTGACACTTGTATGACTTGGGCATTTTCCTCAGATGTAAAATGAAGATGTTATCTACAATTATAAAGATTAGAATAAAATCAGCTGTAACCCTAGTTTTGACACACATTAGAATTTCAGCAAGTTATACCTGGTCTTTCTGTAATTGTTAATGTAATATCCTTAATTATTAAATAGTTGGTTTTGTATCTCAAAATTTAATCATAACGTACGTTTTTATTTTAATTTAAGAATGGAATTCCTTCTTAATTTAATAGTGGGAATACTCATTATGAAATCAGTTCAGAACAAAATAGCAGATAAGGTAAAATATGGTAACCCATAGTACTAACATTACTTGCTGGCTTTCTTTAAATCATAATATATCATATTAAATAATTTTTAATGTAATTGACTGAATAGTTTGTGCTAAATGAATATAGGTTGTAGGATTAGTTACTTTAGAACAGCTTGCTCTTTGGATTTACAAAGGTATGAGTTTTACATTAATACTAGAGGCTCGATGCATGAGTTTGTGCACCAGTGGGGTCCCTTGACTTGGACTGCAGGATCAGGCCGAAACCGGCTTTCTGACATTCCCAGGAGGGTCCTGGATTGGGAGAGGGCATAGGCCAAGCCTAGGGACTCCACCAGTGCACGATCGTGGCCGGGCAGAGACGCAGGAGGTTGGCCAGCCAAGGAAGGACTGTGGGAGGGCCCCAGGACGTGTCCAGCCTTACACAGTCACAACTAACCTGATCCCAGCAGCAAGCTAACCTACCAGTCCGAGTGTCTGCCCCCTGGTGTCAGTGCATGTCATAGCAACTGGTCAGCCAGTCAACTGCCTGCCCCCTGGTGGTCAATGCACATCAGCGAGCAGTTGAGCAACCTTAGCATATCATTAGCATATACACTTTGATTGGTTGAACGACCAACTGCACATATAGCATATAAGGCTTTTCTTATATTGGATAGGATGAAAATTATATTCTGCATCTCTTTGACCTTGGGGAAGTAGAAAAACAATGGCTTCAAAATTCTTAAAGTTTAAAACTCATGAGGTTAGTGTAGTATTTTGAAATTTTAATTGAAATAGGCTAGGCAGTTTGCTTTCAAATGTGCCTACATCAGCCACTGTATAGTTTTGGGTAGTAGTTACATCTTTTCAGGGTTTTGGTTTTATGAAATGGGAAGTCTGGAGATGTGTGAATTTTAAATTCATTGTTTTTCCTCAAATTTAAATAAGGTTAGAATAACTTTGTATGCTTTTTTAAATAATACATTCTAAAGTTTTTTATGAAAAATAAATTTTTAGTTTTTATATTTTATTGAATGAGGCTTTACTTCTAAATATAGCATGTCCCAAAAATGTATACACACTTTAACTGCAGGCAACTCACTTAATTTTCACTCCTTTTCAGGTTTAACTGATTTGAAATAATGGGTGAAGCCATACTAAGTTTTGAACAAAGAAAAATTATCCTAAAGTGGCATTATACTTCTTTTTATGGGGATACATAAAAGATCAAAGATAAAGCTTATGGTACAAAACCAGCAACAGTCGACGAATCGAGGGTGCACAAATACCGAACAAAATGATTGTTGATGTTTGCGATTCCATTGCTTCACGTTATCAGCAGTGCCTGGACCAGAACGGTCATCACTTTGAAAACTGATGTTGAAAAAAAATTATTTCTTTCTGTCGATTCTTTTAAATTTTGAAAATGAACTGTATGTTAATAAATGCTGACTTTATCATCTATTCAAAGTGTGTATACATTTTTGGGGACACCCTATATTCTCTAGTTTTCAGTGTTTTTTATTAGTGATATAGTACCCTGTCAAATTTTCATTTTTGAGGAGGAAAAAAAGCATAAAATTTGTGTCATAAAATAGATGTTCACAAGAAGTCTCACTTTTATGCAGGAAGTCTCTATTTGTCAGATAGAAATGACAGCATATTATTTTCATTTAAGCTATATTTTAAGAGTTGGTATATCTGTGTCTGTGAACATTCTCATAGATGTAGGTACGTATTTTGTTAATATAGTAAAATACGTTTTCACGAAACTTGGAGGACAAAGGGAGAGGAAATCAACTAAATTCTTAAATTTGGTTTTGTAGGAGTTCCATTTGGAATATGACAAATTAGAAGAACGGCCTCACCTGCCATCCACCTTCAACTACAACCCTGCTCAGCAAGCCTTCTAAAAAAAGACTTCCCTTTTCTTGGGGTATGGCTGTCTCAGCACAATACTCAACATAACTGCAGAACTGATGTGGCTCAGGCACCCTGGTTTTAATTCCTTGAGGATTTGGCAATTGGCTTACGCAAAGGGTCACCATTTGAGGTCCTGCCTTACTAATTATGTGCTGCCCAACAACTAAATTTGTAATTTGTTTTTTCTCTAGTTTGAGCAGGGTCTGAATTTTTTCATTTATTTTCTTTTTTTTTTTTTTTGCCAGCAGACAGACTTGGGTCTATAAAGACAAGCAAGTACACTGACAGAAGTTTACCGTTTAGTTTCTAAAATGTAAAAAAGAAAACCCACAAAAGACTCAACAAAATTAGACCACAAAATTTGCATTGTTCATTGTAGCACTATTGGTAATAAAATAACAAATGTTTGTGCATTTTTATGTGAAGATCCTTCTCGTATTTCATTTGGAAAGATGAGCAAGGTCTGCTTCCTTCATTTTACTTCCCCTTTTGTTTTTGAAAGGCAGTTTCGCCAAGCTTAACGCAAGAATATCTGACTGTTTAGAAGAAAGAGATTGCCACAATCTCTGGATGGTTTCCAGGGTTGTGTTATTACTGAGCTTCATCTTTCCAGAATGAGCAAAACACTGTCCAGTCTTTGTTACGATTTTGTAATAAATGTGTACATTTTTTTTAAATTTTTGGACATCACATGAATAAAGGTATGTATGTACGAATGTGTATATATTATATATATGACATCTATTTTGGAAAATGTTTGCCCTGCTGTACCTCATTTTTAGGAGGTGTGCATGGATGCAATATATGAAAATGGGACATTCTGGAACTGCTGGTCAGGGGACTTTGTCGCCCTGTGCACTAAAGGGCCAGATTTTCAGCAGCCAAGGACATCCATACCCAAGTGAATGTGATGGGACTTAAAGAAGTGAACTGAGACAATTCACTCTGGCTGTTTGAACAGCAGCATTTCATAGGAAGAGAAAAAAAGATCAATCTTGTATTTTCTGACCACATAAAGGCTTCTTCTCTTTGTAATAAAGTAGAAAAGCTCTCCTCACTGCAGTGTTGACTTTGATTTGAAATTGTGGAATTATTTCTTCAGTAATGAAACTAGAAGATAAATAAAAACTAAGGGGGGCTTACAAATATCAAATTGAAGGGTGTAACTAAACAATTTAAAATGTAGTTTCAGTTTTTGACAAGTACAATAGTTTAATGGAGCCATCACCATTTCAGTTGTAGGTTATTTAAAATGTAGACATTTTTAATACTAACCAAGTTCAAAACAGAAAAAACTATTAGAAATAAAACTTCCTGGTCTCTCTTGGGACCCAATCAAAATGCTTTTCTTTTGTGTGAAACTTGTAAGAAATTTCTCGCTAGACTTTCGATATTTATCTTTAAGAAGTATTGTAATACTCAAATTAAGGGAAGACAAAAGCAGTGGCAGGACAGACTTCATCTCCCATGTGCTGACCTGGATATTTCACACAAGTTGATGGGTTCTTTTCCATCTAAAGATAAATACTGTCTTTAAAAATGTCTGAAGACTGAAGTTATGGAAGCAGAATTAAAGATAGTAAAGTGGAGTGCAGGGAGTGAGTACTGATCTGTAAATTTTCACTTTTAACCTGTTTTTCTATGAAGAGTAAAAGTTTGACATTTACCAAATCATGTTTGAAAATGAAACATTTATGTCATTTCTGTTTTTGTCAGGACTATAAGATGGCAAGATTTATCTTTTTCTACGTATTTTGAGATATGAAGCTGATATAAAAATAACAGGATTGATTTAATCTCTCAGATTTAAACCAAAGCATCTCTTATATAATTATAATTTTATTGTTATGAAAAAAATCTTCACAGAACACACACCATTTGACATAAACCAGTGTCAAATCCTACAAATAAATTTCTTTTTTTTTTTAATACATTTTTTCATAATAATGTACTGTTAAATGTAACTTCCTACAAAACCATGAAAGGAAGAAGGAAAAAATGGAAGGGGGTCTTTATTCTTTTTTTTTTTCTTTTTAATATATTTTATTGATATTTTACAGAGAGGAAGGGAGAGAGATAGAGAGCTAGAAACGTCGATGAGAGAAAAACATCAACCAGCTGCCTCTTGCACACCCCCTACCGGGGATGTGCCCACAATCAAGGTACATGCCCTTGACCCGAATCGAACTTGGGACCTTTCAGTCCGCAGACTGACGCTCTACCACTGAGCCAAACCGGTTTTGGCGGGGGATCTTAATTCTTATGATACAACATAACATAAAGTGTCACCATAATCATGATTAGTACTGAGTGAATGACTCAGAAGAGCAAAATAGTTCTTTGTTTTCTTAATTGCCATATACAAAATAAAGTACACACCTTTTCAGTTTCCTGAGTTCTTTCACCCTGAATCATCAAAATGCAAAACTCTTTCATGTAAACCAGTTTTTTATAACTTGTTAATATCTGAAATTACCATGCTCAAGATCCAAGTTTTAAAATTCTATATGAAATTTTAAAAATACTATATTAAAATCTTTAATATAACACACTTCTATATTCCTTTGTTTTATACTTTGTGGTTTTACATGTGCAGAAGTTGACCTAAACTAGTTATTTCACATTTTCTTTCATAGGTTTAGATTTTATTAACTTTTCCCTATATAACTAGAGACATAAATGTATATATTATGTTAAATATTTTTTTTGCTTTTACTATAATTGGCTTTCTGGAACCACAAGCTATTTAGTTACAAAGAAAAGTCCTTTTGGTTATTTAGTTTAAAATTTATATTTTATGGTTCTTGTGATATTTTAATTTATATGGGAAAACTCCATTTTCAGGGATTTTTTCAATGAGCACATAATTTTTCTTTAATTAAAAAAAATTTAATAATAAGGACTGAAAGTTTATTTGAATTTTAATAGTGTGTGTGTGTGTATATATATATATATATATATATATATATATATATATGGCCAAATATTTATCTGGTCTTATCCTTTTTGCCACTGGACTTGAAACATAATAGGTGCTTGATAAATACATGTTGATTAAATGGTATAGAGATATTTACGTTTGAAAATAAAATTTACAAATTAAAGCATTGAGCTTTGAAACAATTTATTAATTTTTGTTGTAATTTTATTTTCAAGAGACTTTCTAAGCATTTTTAATTAATTTTCTAAACTTCCCTTTTCTCACTCTTTCTAATTGACCCCTTCTCTGAATCCTCCATTAAAAAACTATCAGTCTTCCATTTTATTAAATATTCTGTTTAATATTGGGTTAAATATGTGAGATCTGAGAATGGCTGCTGATTTTATTTAACTTAGATTTCCTTAATAGACCAGTTTTGCAAGAAAACTGCCAAAAACCTAAACAAGCTTGTGCGTATAAGAAAAGGGAACTTGCCCAGCTAGCAGAGCTCAGTGATTTGAGTGTGGACCTGTGAACCAGGAGGTCATGGTTCATTTCCTGGTCAGGGCACATGCCCAGGTTGCAGGCTCCATCCCCAGTGGAGGGTATGCAGGAGGCAGCTGATAAATGGTTATTTCTCATTGAATCTTCTATCTTTCCCTCACCCGTCCTCTCTCAAATCAATTTTTTAAAATATTTAAAAAGATGAAAACGGATATTTATATTTAATGTTCTCTTAACCCTGATTTATCTTTCTAGTTAATAAAAAAGACATAGAAATATCTTCTAAATAATTCTATTAAGACAGTTTCTGGAGAATGAAATAATCCACATCTCAATGTCTTTTTAAATGCTGGCTTCTAATGGCATGTCACAAGGTTCATTCTCTTGCCACTAGCATTACCTGTGAATTAGATCATACCATGAATAAAAGGCAAACCTAGGAAATGAAGCAAAGTCAAAATTGAGATCTAAATCAAACCCTATAATTTTGTTTGTTGAGTTGCTTCAAATAAGATAAATTGAATCACAATAATTACTTTTGCACTTGAGTTGCTAAAAGAAAAAGGATGGTGGAATATAACAAGGCTTAAGAGTGGTTTATATGTAGCCCTAGCCAGTTTGGCTCAGTTGATAGAGCATTGGCCTATGGACTGACTGAAGGGTCTTAGGTTCGATTCAAGTTAAGAGCACATGCCTAGGTTTTGGCTCAGTCCCCACTAGGGGTGTATGGGAGGCAGCCTATCAAGGATTCACTGTCATGGATGCTTCTTTCTATCCCTCTCTCTTCCTCTCTGAAATCAAATTTTTTAATAAAATTTTTAAGTAGTGGTTCATATGTAGACCAATGTAAATTGTGAGTCTGTTGGCCAAATACTAATCTTCAGCTGCCTTAGGAAAAGTATAGTGCTCAAAAGAAGGTAAGAAGTCTGCTATATTTTGAGATCTGCCATGACTGGGGAAGGCAGAAGAATACATGGCATGACTTCTAGTTGAAAATTAGTATACTAAGCATTTTTGCATGCTGCTTATGCTCTATCTTCAACATGGTATCATGAGGCAGGTTTTAGTATCCCCTTTTTAAATTACATTTAAAATATACAAAAACAACAACCATCACAAAGTAGGAATGTTTAGCATTAGAGAATAAATTTTGTAAACATGGTGTTTGTCTTCAGGTTTCAAATTCAAGAGCTGTCACAGAAAGATGAATTCAGTTGTGTGGGTAAAGAGCAGAACCAATAAGGGTTCGGTGCAATTTTTTTCTCCTTTTTTTAAAATTTAATAAATCTTTATTCAGATTATTACAAGTGTTCCTCTCTTTTTCCCCCCATAGCTTCCCTCCACCCGGTTCCCATCCCACCCTCTGCCCTTACCCCTCCCCCCCATTGTCCTCATCCATAGGTGTACAATATTTGTCCAGTCTCTTCCCACCCCCCGCATCCCAAGAATTGTCAGTCTACTCCCTTTATATGCCCCTGATTTTATTATATTCACTAGTTTGTTCATCAGATTTTTTTATTCACTTGATTTTTAGATTCAACGCCTTTAGCTTTTTCTTATCTGTGAAGCTCTTTACCTGCCTTTCAATTCTGAATGATATCTTTGCTGGGTAGAGTAATCTTGGTTGTAGGTTCTTGCTATTCATCACTTTGAATATTTCTTGCCATTCCCTTCTGGGCTGCATAGTTTCTGTTGAGAAATCAACTGATAGTAGTATGGGTACTCCCTTGTAGTTAACTGTTTTTCTCTTGCTGCTTTTAAGATTCTCTTTGTCTTTTGCTCTTGGCATTTTAATTATGATGTGTCTTGGTGTGGTCCTCTTTGGATTCCTTTTGTTTGGGTTTCTGTGCGCTTCCTGGACTTGTAAGTCTATTTCTTTCACCAGGTAGGGGAAGTTTTTGGTTATTTCTTCAAATAGGCTTTCAGTATCTTTCTCTCTCTTCTGATACTCCCATAATTCGGATGTTGGTAAGCTTGAGGTAGTCCCAGAGGTTCCTTACACTATCTTCAAATTTATGGATTCTTTTGCTTTTTGCTTTTCTTGTTGAGTGTTTTTTGCTTCTTTGTATTTTAAATCTTTGACTTCTTTCAGTCCTCTAATCTGCTGTTAGGTCCCTGTATAATATTTTTTATTTCAGTCAGTGTATGTTTAATTTCTAGTTGGTCCTTTTTAATATCCTTAAGGGTCTCGCTAAATTTATCAGCCTTTTCTCGAAAAATCTTGAAAAACTTTTAACCATGGTTTTGAACTCTAAATCCAGTCGTTCGCTTTCCTTCATTTTTTTAATTTGTGATCTGTTTCTTTGTCTCTGCATTTTGGCTGCTTCCCTGAGTTGATAGAGTAGCTTTGTGTGCTAGGTGTCCTATAGAACCCAGTGGCTCAGCCTCCTCAGTTACCTGAGGTGGACATTCTTGGTGCACCCCTTTGTAGACTGTGTGCACAGCCTTGTATTTAAGCCTTGATTGTTGTTAGTATCACTGGGAGGAATTGACCTCCAGGCCAAGTGGCTATGATGATCAGCTGTGTCTACACTGACAGCACTTCTGTGCTTGAGACACTCTTATGAGACAAGACTTGCAAAAGCCTCTGTGTTCAGCTTGGATGGGGCGGAGTCTCAGGGCGGAGCAGACAG